TTACTAACCAGAGAACATACACCTTATGACAATGTATATCGTGATAATCAAAGTGAAAATACTCAGTCGCAAAGTTATGTAACTAAGATACCATTATCTGATTGGAAAGATTTCAATCGCACTATGCACAAAGAAGAGATATTTTTTTCGGATGATGATTTACGATCATTTCTAGAAGGTCGAGTGAATTTGACAACGAGTCAAAAAGGGCAGATTGAAGTTTATCTGAATAAACAATCATCATCCAGTCGAAGTACCTCTTCGAAAACTTTAACGAGCACAAAAGTACCCGTCACAAAATATACTGCTGATGACAGCATATATTCTGACTATGAAAATGAAGACATACAGTTGCCAGATTATGATTCGGTAGATTTCAATGGTACTCTCTATAATAAAGAAATATCATTCTCGGATGATGATTTGCGATCATTCCTAGAAGGTCGGGCGAATTTGTCCAATAGTCAAAAAGCACAGATTAAGGCTTATTTAAGTAAACAATCATTATCTAATCGAAGTACTTCTTCGAAATATTTTATGAGCACAAAACTACCATCAAGAAAATCTACAACTGATGACAACGTATATCGTGACTATGAAAGAAAAAGTACGCAGTGGCAAACTTATGTAACAAAGACATTACTATCGAATTCAAAAGATTTAAATCGTACAATAGATAGCGGAGAAGTATTATTCTCTGATGATGATTTACGAGCGTTCCTTGAAGGTCGAGCGAACTTGCCAACGAGTGAAAAAGCGAAGATTCAAGCTTATTTAAATAAACAATCATCAACCACTAGCAGTGACTCTTCGACATATTCAACGAGTACAACATCAGCAAGCAGAAAATACATCTTTGATAACAACATTAAACCTGATTATGAAAGCAATGATACACAGCCTGAAAGCTATTTTACAAAGAGACCACTGTCTCATTCGAAAGAATTTAATCATACTGCAGATATAAAAGATATATTATTTTCCGACGATGACTTGCGATCGTTCCTAGAAGGTCGAGTTAATTTATCAAAGAATCAAAAAGCGCAGATTGAAGTATATCTAAATAAACAATCATCATCTAGCCAAGGTCTTTTTTCGACAAATTCGACAAGCACGAAGTTACCATATAAAATACAAACATCTAGTGACATGTACTCTGATTACCAGAGTCGAGATACACAAACGCACCCTTACTTAACAAAGACATCTCTATCTGATCCGAAAGATTTTAATCGTACAGAAGACCAAGATAGAATATTATTTTCCGATGATGACTTGCGCTCGTTTCTCGAAGGTCGAGTGAATTTGACAACGAGTCAAAAAGCGCAGATTGAAACTTATCTAAATAAACAATCATCATCCAAACAACACATTTTTTCAAGATACTCAACGATCACAAAATTACCAACCAGAAAACATACACCTTATGACAATGTATATCG